GGGCCAAGGGAGGTGACAGGGCTGGGAGCGGGTCCCAGGGCAGGCAGGGGGGCCGGGGCAGTCACAGACCTCCCCCAGGGATGCTCCCAACCCGCAGCACAGTGTCCCAAAGCTGTAACTTGCAGGAGTTGGGCCCGGCTCCCCCGGGGCCAGGCTAAGCTCTCCCCGTGCCGCCTGCCCCCAGACCCCCCACCCAGTGCAGGCTGCACTGGGGGTCCCACAGGGCACTGGATGCTCCGGCCATCCCTGACCCATGAGGGGAGCTGGAGGGGACACAGCGGGATGGGGACGGGGAGGCGGGGGGCTGGGCTGGCAGGCACCTTTGCTGGCCTCCTGATACTTGCGCTTGGCCTGGGCACTGTCGCGTGCCAGGCTGCGGTACTGCGCCTTCAGCTTCTCCATCTCCTGCTGCGTGATCTGGGGAGGCAGATGCTGTCAGGGGAGCGGGGCCGGGCTGTGCCCCCCGCTCCACCCACCAGGACCCACGTACCCGGGCATACTCCTGGCTGAGATGCTGCCACTGCTCGCTGAAGGCCTTGCGCAGCTGCTGCTTGTCGCGGATGAGCAGGCTCAGCTTGGCCAGCGGCCCTGCCGCCAGCTCCTCTGCGTGCTGCCGCAGGATCTGGCTCAGCGTCTCTGTCCGGCTCGCCAGTACCCACCAGGACTGCAGGGATGGGTTGTCAGGGACAGTGTGGGAATGGCTGCCCCCAGTACCACACCGCACCGGGCTCTGTGGGGTGCACTCCTGCACCAGGGTGTCCCTACCTCCCCGATCTGTCCACCGTGGTCACCAGTGCGGAGCTGCCCAGGGCCCTCCTGCTTCTCCAGCTGAGAGAACATGTGGTGCAGCATTCCCGCATACTCCCGGTCACTCTTGGCGCGCTGTGTCATCCACTTCTTCATGAGCTCCAGGAGGCGCAGCTCGCTGTCCTGCAGCCGCAGTAGTGCGCTGTGCCCCTGCGGGCACCACAGGTCTGGCCCAAAGCCCATGGCACCGCCGTGTCCAGCAGGAGGAGGCTGTGGAGCATCAGGAGAGCCTGAGCCACGACTGCTGCCCCGCGCCCCGCGCTGCCCTCACCGGTGGCTGGGGTCATTTGCATCTCACACCCTCCCACCCCATCGCCCTGTCACCGGGACGTGGTGCCTGGGCTGGCTGGTGGTGAGGGGCACAGTTCTCCCTGCCCCATGCAATCTGCCTTGCAAAGCGCATTCAAAGCAGGCGGGAGGGCTGAGTGCGCCCCAAGCTCCGCAGCAGCTGGGGCCCGTGGAGATGGTGCCAGGGAGGAGGAAGTGTGGGGTCAAAAACAGCAGCGTCACCTCTGCCGTGCACACGGGTCTGCTCCCCAAGGGCAGTGCAGCTGTAACCCTGCCCAGGTGCAGCCCTATTCTGCCCATTGGCATGGTCACCCCTGTGCCTGTGGCAGGGGTGGCTGGGCAAACCGGGACAGGGGAGCTCCCAGGGGCCAGGGCACAGGCGGGGAGCCGGCAGGAAGGGGATGGGGCAACGAGCCCCAGAGGAAGGTGCCGAGCCTGGACGCATCCCGGCATCCAGGACTCTAGCGTGGCTGTTGAGAGCCAAACTGGTCCCAACCGTGATCCTGGGGTGCCCTGCCCCATGGCAAAGGCACAGCAGGAGCAGGAGGTGCTGGAGCACGTCTCTGTGCAGGGCAGGACATCCCCTGGCACAGCCCTTGACCCCACAGAAGGCCAGGGCTGAGACACCCCCCCCAGCCCCACAAAAGGGTCCCCTGTCCCTGCCAGTGCCCCACTGGGCCACGGCCCCTCTAACCTGTGTGTGCTGCGAGGTCCCTGCCGTGGGGCTGGCGCTGGTGTCCTCCCAGGGTCAGGGCCGGCGCAGTCTGGACCTGGTGCAGCTCCCGCTCCTGAGGAGGAACAGGAAACCCAGTGCTGACCATACAGCCATTGCGAGATTTCCTGTGCTTCCTCCCCTCCCTGCCAGTCCCCGTGCTTGGGGCTGACGCCGGCACACAGCGCCGCCATAGCTGGGCAGCCCCCAGCCCCGCTGCCCCTCCCAGCTGCCTCAAATGAAGGCCTGGTGCTGGCAGAATCTGGCCCTGCAGGAGCCCAGGGCTCTTCCTCGTCCTGGCTGTTGTCCATCACCCCTGCAGAGCCTGAACTCAGCCCCATCCCCACAGGGGTTTCACCTAGCAAAGCCCCTTCAGCCATGCCTGGTCCTGCCTGTCCCCCAGCCCCTCTCTGTGCTGCAGAGACTGCAGGGACTAGGGCAGTACCCAGGGGGATCCCCAGGGCTCCAAGCAGCCCTGCTGAAGGAGGACCATCCCGTCACCACCCCTGAGCCTGGCCCTTGTGACTGTGAAAGGCCACAGGACAGAGCATCCACCGCATGGGCAGCCATGGAGTCATGCCCCAGCTCTTGTCGCCAGCCCATGCCCACACAGCCAGGACCCCGCTCCCTGCGGCAGCCCCAGGCACTTCCCCGCTCCAAGTGCTCCACTGGTGCCACGGTGAGACCGCTCAGCCCTGGCAGCCGCCACTGGTGCCACTGCCTCCACCCAGTGCCGCTGCACGTCCCCGCCGCTGGCGCAGCCCGGCTTGGCTCTCTGCTTGGCTCAGCCTGGCAACCTCTTGGGTGGTTTGTGCTGAGCCCCCTGTCCTGTGCCTGGCAGGGAGGCCCTGGCCCCAGAGGGGTGTCATGGTCACCTGCAGGACACAAGCGAGCTGATTCCACTTTTAGAGGAAGTTGGGGGGAAAAGTGTGTCAGATGGGAGTTTTGCTGACGCACCTTCTCACAGCTGAGCAATGCCTGGGTCATCACACCAAGGAGCAGCACAATGGCACGGCATGGAACAGCATGGCACAGCCAGGGGCTGCCACAGTGCCCCAGCCACAGACCCCAAGCAGCACTCCAGCTGTACTGAGTGAGACAAATCCCCACTCAGAGTCACCATGGCCCCCCCTCTAGGCAAGAGGAGCCCAGTTAACAGCCTATTTGCTGCTTGCCCAGATGAGCAATTCGAGAGCTGCCACATGCTGCCGGGGTCTCCAGTTGCCTACCAGCTGGTCACCCTGTAACCAGCCCTGGTCCCCAAGGGGTCCTGCCTGCAGCAGGGGGCCCTTCCTGCCCATCCCCACAGAGTCCTGCCTGCTGGGGAGGGCTCCGCTTTCCCTGTGCCCTATTCAGCCACACCAAGCACTGAGTGCTGCTGACACTCCCTGGCACCACCAGTGTCAGGATCCTGGAAACAGTAATTTTCATGGCACGTTTGAGGGTGACAGCAGCTCTGCTAGCACCAGCACTGCAGCTGCCCCAACCCGCAGCAGATACCAACCTGTCTCCAGCCCCCTCTGCCCCGGCCCTGGAGCCTGCCCAGGAATAGTTTTGTTTTCTGCCTGAGCTGCAGGTCCCACTGGTAGCGGCCACAGGCCCCACCGGTTCCAGAGAGACTTGCAGCATTGTCTCAAGCTTAGCAAGTGTTTCGCAAGCCAGGCCGAGGGGCTGCTTCTCCCTAACCCCAGCATCCTCCAGCACCCCCTGGCACCTCACAGGCAGCACTGGTTCCCTGCCTGCACTGGACTGCACCAGGGACACCGGGCACCTCTGGTGGGAGGTATCCGAGCCTGGGGGCTAGGGGGCCGCCTGCCCCCCCCCCCGCAGTGCTGGGCCAGTCAGGACTGTGCTGCAAGGCTCCGAATGCGACAGTGAGTGCAGAAGCTCCTGTTCCCTGGAAGCCACAACCACTGCCTGCAGCAAGAAGGTTGCTGTTAGCCACACCACAGATCACCCAGTTTCACATCCTCTGTCCAGCCTCCTGCAGCCTGCAGAGCCTGGTGGGGCTACGGCCTCTGCCTGCTCCCCTGGCGGCAGCTGTCGCTGCAGCACCCTATGGCCGCAGCCCACCTGCAGCACCCACCTGTCCATGCATGGCCTGCGAGCTGCCAGCTCTGGTCCACACAGCCCTCGGCAGAGGGCCAGCAGGGACCTGTCCCCACCCTGGCTTCATGAAAAAAGGAAGAGAGAGCGGGCCGAGAAGTGCCGGCCGTCACCTGGACGCCACGGGGAACTCGCTCCTACCACAGGAAGCCACCACAGCCACAGATGGGGGCAGCGAGGCCGAGGGGCTCTGCAGAGAGGAGCAGCTTCTGCGAGTGAGCGCAGCCCTGACAAACCCTCCTGGGGGGCTGGGACCCTGCGAGGGACTCGGTGGGGCTGGGGTGGGCTCTGCCTGGAGCTTGGCCACGGCATGAGCAGGTCCCAGGTCCAGCCTGGCCATCCCCACCCCCAGGGCTGCCCCGTGGGCATTGTGCTCCGGCTGCAGGGTGGTGCTGGACACGGGCTGCAGCGTGCGAGCTCGGTGGGACCCCAGGCTGCAGTGGAGGGGCTCAAGCCCTGCGCTGTGGGAAATGTGTGCAAGTTCCCCAGGCTTTTGCCCCCCACCCCTACTACACCGCATCCGGTTCCCAAATTAGCTTCTCTCGCTGTGGGTTCCTGATAAGCAGCTGCTTCCCATCGCTCAGGTGAAGGGGCTGGTCCCTGCCCAGGTGCCAAGTCCCCACCACATCCCCAAACAGCAGCCCCTGCCCAGCACCAGCTCCTGCCTGCAGCCTGGGCAGGGCAGCCCCTGGCTCTAGGGGGTTCTTTACTGCTTGGGGGGCTTCTCTGTCCTGACCAGGGGCTGCAGGGGCACCAGGCGCTGCAGGTTCCTGCAGTCACACTATGGCGGGCAGCACAGCAGCTGGGGCTCCCTGCCTGCACAGCAGGCAGACACCACAGCAAGGTGCCCCCAGCCCGGCTGCAGGCAGGGCTGCCAGCAGAGCCTCAGGCCCCCTCCTGCGGCTGTGGAGCAGATACAGGCACCCCACAGGCCCAGCACAGCAGCATGGTGTGATGGCCCCGGCTCAGCACCCTCCTGCCCCCAGGGCCAGGCTGCCCATCCAGAGCAGGGCCACCCGCAGCCACAGCACACAGAGCACAGGCAGCGGAGCTGGTTTGCATAGTTCTGAACATTTAATAACTCAGTCTCTCTAGTGTTATATCCACATCCATTAAATTAAAAACAGGCTCAGGAGGCAGCTCCCGGCTGATTAAATTACAAGAAAAAATTACTGTGCACCAAAAAGTTATTATAGAAAAATAGTCCTGTGGCCCCTGGCCGGCGGCTCCATCCGTGGCAGGCTGGGACTGGCGCTGGCACGGGGCGGGTGGGAGCCCATGCCACAGCCCCGGTGTGCGGCGGCGGACGGTGAAGGGGCTTGCGGCACCGGCCCCCAGCCCGTGGGGAAGGGGCAGCGAGGGCAGGCGGTGCCGGGAAGGGGCTCCGGCGGGGAGCGGAACGGATTGTCACCAAGTGGGGGCAAGGCACGTCGGGGGGGCAGGGGCGCTTTGGGGGCTGGGGCTGCAGGGACGCTGGGCTCTGCCCAGCACAAGCAGGGTGCAGGCAGAGCCAGGGCAGCGCAGGCACCAGCACTGCCCAACTGCCCCGGCCAGCAGCGCACCCAGCCCTGCCGAGGGGCAAAACAAGAGGGGGCCCGGGGCAGCCCAGCAGAGCAGGGTCTGTGCGAGGTGGTCCCTGCCCACACTGGGGGGCTGAGCCTCGGGCACAAGGCAAGGCGCGGCCCTGCCCCATGCTCTCCGGTGCAGGGGGGCTCCTGTCCACGCTGCAGGCAACCACAGCCATGGTGGGAGGGGCAGGCAGCGGGCAAGCAGGCAGCAGAGGCTGAGGCCTGGCCATTATTGCTGTTGAAGGGCATGGGTGGAGGCGGACAGGCCCTCGGGAGGTGGTGGGGAGCCAGGACACAGCAGGCCAAGCCAGGGACACGGGCAGGGGCCCGGCAGGTGCCGAGGGCAGCAGGGGCAGGGGGATGCCGTGCCGTGGGCTAGGCTCAAGGCACAGCCACTCCTGCCCCGGCCAGCCCAGCCTGAGCAATGACAACCCAGGGACCCCACATGCTGCCCACGCCGGGGGACCTGCATGACCCCCCAGCAGCAGCTGCCCACCTCAGGCAGGGGACACGGCTGCCAGTGCAGGGCCAGTGAGCGCCAGGGGCCCCGCTGCCATCAAATACCCCAGCGTAGGGTACAGGATGGACGCGGGGCCAAGAGAGATGGTGCAAGACTGGGACGGTGCCGAGCTGGGGACGGTGCTGGCGGGGCCATGCCCGGCAGCCCAGGCCAGGGCCAAGGGACGATGCCGGCGGGTGGGGAGCCCCGGGCTGCTGTGGTGCAGGAGGGGGATGGGGGCAGAGTCCGGGGCCCCTCGGCCTCACCTGCCCCGGCCCCACAGTGCTGGGCAGGGAGGAGGGAGGGGCGGGAGGGCTCATCAAAGGGCACTTTGGTCTCTGATGAAGGCAGTCCTCTCACTGTGGGCCTCGTACTCCTCACCGTCCGACTCGGAGGGGCCCTCTTCCTGCCAGATGTCAGAGGGGAGCCCCTTGTAGGAGATAATCCCGCTGTCCAGAGCATAGACCTTCACACCCCGCAGGCTGAAGCCTGAGCGCGCCTGCAGCACCAGGAAGACGGTGACAAAGATGACGACAATAAGGATGCAGCTGAGACTGGCGATGAGGACAGGCAGGTTGGCTGGAGGGGGGGCCTTGGCCAGCCCCTCGCCGTCTGCCAGGGCAGGGGACGCACGGCTGCTCTGCGTCTGGTGGGAGCAGGAGAGGTCCAGGCTGCTGAAGTGGGAGTGCGCAGGGCAGGTCAGGCACTGGTTGGGGCCGGGCCCCGCGCAAGTGGCGCAGGAGGGGTGGCAGGGCAGGCAGAGGTGGGGCGCGATGGGCTCCACGCTGTTCTCCAGGTTGTAGTGCGTGCTCTGGACACCGGGTGCAAAGCCAGGAGGGCAGCGCTTCAGGCAGCTCTTCTGGTGCAGGTAGTACCCCTCCTCGCAGACTGTGGGAAAGGCAGGGTCAGCGCATGCAGGGGGAGCCACCTGCACCCCACACCCCCGCCCCCTCCCTGCCAGCCCTGCACTCACCCACACAGGTCTGGCTGGGGGTCAGGGTCTTGCAGCCGCTGCTCTCCAGCTGGTTGGAGAGGCTGGGGGAGTCAGTGGCCGTCCCGTACAGCACGAGTGTGAACTTGGTCAGTGTGCCTGCAACGACATGGGGTGAGGACCACTGACACACCCGTGGGACCGCCTGTGCTCGGGACAGGCACAGGGAGGGGGCTTGCACTGACCCTGCCACAGGCTGCCCATCACCTGGAAGAGTACCCAACGTGGGACCATGCCCCTGCACAGGGCTGCCCGCAGGGCAGGGGGGAGCCAGGCCAGCTGTCACAGGGGGCACCTGCTGCCCCAGATCCCCGCAGCCCCAGAGCAGCTGCATCCCCTCCAGCCTCTCCCCAGCCAGGTCACTGCAAAGCATCTGAGGTGTCACTGGCTCTGCTCAAGGGGGTTGGGAGGACACTGGGCACCCACTCTGCTCCCATTCCCACCCCGGGCTCGGAGGGAGGCAATGGTGGGGGTGAGGCCAGCCCAGCCCTACCATAGTTGTTGGCGTCGCTGGTGTTCTCGATCTCCAGCACCCATTCCCCAGAGGGGTCCTCGTCCCACGAGTGCGTCGTCATGAAGGCCCAGTCATTGAAGCCATCAGCCGAGAAGTCATGGGGCCTGTACGAGGAGGGGAAAGAGGTGGGTGCCAGCGTCCTGCAAACACCTGGGGCCACCCTGGGGCACCCCGCAGCCCAGCACCTACCTGGCAGCCAGGAGGGTGGACCGGGTGCCCATGGGACTGACAAGGTGGATGGCCAAGTCCCCCCGACGGTTGTAGGACAGCGTCAGCCTGGCCTGTGCGTGCTCCAGCCGGCTGATGTAGTTGGCTTTCCCCAGGCAGGCATCCACCTTCCGCCGCACCTCCAGGCGTTTCCCGATGTCCCTGTCAAGGACAGGGAAGAGTGAGCCCAGTCCTAAGCCCTGGGGCATGTGTCAGGGTGCTCCAGCCCCTGCTGCCCACTGCCGGGCTTTGCGGCTGCCCTGGGAACCGGGTGCTGTGTCCCAAGGCAGCTGGAGTGGGAGATGAGGCAATCCCACAGCAGCTGGCAGCACCTCCTCTCCATTCCCAGACAGGGCACAGGCAGCAGGCAGGCCTGCCCCAGTTCCTAGGCACAGTCGGGTTTGCTCTGCCGAGCACGCGCTGCCTGGTGCCGCCTCCCCAGCTGCCGCTCCATGCCAGCCCTGAATGGGCCCTTTCTTCACCCGCCGCCAGGCCAGCTACACCCTGCACAGTGTGGCCAGGGACTGGATGGGCACGGCCATCCCCATCCCGGTGCTCCTGTGTGGCGTCCCCCTGGCAGTCACCTGCGGCGCAGGCCCTGGTGCCAGCGCAGGATACCGGTTGCAAGAAGTGCCCGCTCTGGACGGGCAGGGGTGGGTCCCAGGGGACCAGGGCAGAGCAGCAGGCACATGCAGGGCCCAGCCCTGGCTTCCTCCCTGCCCAGGGATGTCCCCCTCCCTGCTGAGAGCCCCTGGGGAGCGCCCTGGCCGCACATGAGACTCAGCACACATTGCACTGCAGCAATGGGAGCCAAACAGGAATAAAAGGAGCTTCTGTCTGACCCCTGAAAAGCCCCTCTGTCTGGGGATGACTCGTGCCGGCTGCTCCCAAACCGCAGTGCCCCAGCCTGCCTGCACCCCCACGGCGCCCAACCCAGCCTGGCCCCAGCAAGAGCGGGCAGGCTGAGCAGTCGATGTCAGTGCCGGACAGCTGAAGGCGCCCTTCCCGGCTCTCCCCAAGCTCTCACAGGAGGATGGCCTGGGGTCTCGGGGACAGCTCAGCCCTGGATATCGTCCCCAATCCCTGCCTTGGACCCAGAGGCGCTTGGGCTCCTGCGTGGGGCCGTGCACTGGGCGGATGCTGGGCAATGCCCTCCTGGGCTCACCAGCCCTTACTTCGGCTCCGTGAGGACGTCAATGACGCACTTCCTCTGAGGTCCCACCGTGGTCCAGTTCTTGGCCAGGCTCACCATGGCCCCAGCATCCAGCAGGCCGTAGCCATAGGAGTGGCTGACTGTGGACAGAAAGGGGGTCAGTGCCACTCCTGGGGGTCCCTGGGGGGACATGTGCCCGGCCGCACTGCGCAGCTCACCAGGCCCTCCTGCCTCCTTTGTCCCCCAGGGATGCAAGGGTGCTCTGCCCCAGCACCCCCAGGCTAGCAATGCTTGTGGGAATGGGAGCCCCTGGTCCACCCCCAGCACCCCGGTACCTTTGCGGCCGACGCCGTTGGTGACCCAGTCATTGGCATTGAGGTGAGCTGGCTTTGACGTCTGCACCACCAGGTGCTGCATGTCACGCCAGGTCAGGTTCTTGCTGCAGGGAGACACGGGGCTCAGGCAGCTGCAGCCGGCTCCTCCCAGCCCCAGGCAGGTCCATGCCCAGGTGCCGCTGCCTCATGGGGCTTGTGTGGCCACCTCTAGCCCAGCCCTGCTCTGTGCCCACCCTTACTTGGCTTCCAGGGCGAGGGCGATGATGCCAGCAGCCAGGGGTGCCGAGGCAGACGTCCCTGTGTGTGATTCGGTGCATTTCTGTCTGAGGTCAGTCGTCACCTGCAAGGAGGAGTGCTGGGGTAGGAGGTGCTGTGGGTACTGGCCATGTCCAGGATCTGGCTCGGGGGCTTGCATCCCCACAAGGGCCACAGGAGGCGAGGCAGAGCTGCCGCTCCTGGGGCAGCTCATGAGCTTCCCTCCAGAAGCCCTCAACTCATGAGGCCGAGCCCTGGGAGAGACCTGGAGGGCGGCAGCATGGCAGAGTGGGGCCAGCCCTGCTCCCAGCACTGCAGCCCACTCAGGTCCCAGAGGGATGCCCATGGCAGCCACAGCTCACAGCACGTCCCACCCCTGTGAGCCCCCAGCCTGCAGACACCAACAGCCCCAACTCACAATCTGCTTCTCATTCTGGTTGCCGCTGCTGTAGGTGGTGGCAAGGGTGGAGGAGCAGGCCTCGCTGTACCAGGGCACGTTACCATACTGCGTGGTGCTGCTGATGGACAGCGTGTAGATGCTGTTGGTGTAACCGTCACAGTTGCAGCTGTCGTGCTCGCGGCCCCCGTTCCCGGACGCCCAGACGAAGATGGAGCCCAGCCCCCCTCGGCCCTAGCAACAGAGGCAGGGTGAGGGCCAGCGCCAGTGTCACCCGCGCTGCTGCAGGGCAGGAAGCCCCAGGCTGGAGCTGGGGATGTGCGGATGGTGCCAGCCCCAGGGCTCTTGCAGCCTGAGTGGGAAAGACTGAGCAGATGCAGCTGGGACACTGGGAAACAGCGGGATGCCACCAGTCATGGCCCATGGGCCTGGGCACCCAGCACTGCCATCCCTGACCACCGCCATGCCTACGGAGGGTGCTGGGGCACCTCTGCAGAGGCTACGGGGGCTTCCCCAACAGGCAAGGCACTGAGTGGCAGGAGGCTCTGTCGAAGGAGGGCTTCCAAGAACTGATGTCTTTTTCCACTCGGAAATTACCCAGGCTGACTCTGCCTGTGTGGGATTTGCAGCCGCCTGGCAGCACTGCGGGAGCTCAGCAGAGCAGTCCCAACCGGCTGCTCAGCACCCAAAAGCCACAGCTCCACTCACAGCATGTGTGACAGAGCTGGCATGGCACAGTGAGGCAGGTTTGCCAGCATGCCTTGCACAGCACACGCGTCTCTCCATGCAGGGATTCCCAGACAGAACAGGGAGCACAGCTAACCACGTGGGGTGCACCACAGCAATGCCAAGGCACAGGCTGCACTGACAGCACATGGGGACAGCGGGCGGACAGGCAGAGGAAGGGAGGGCGAGCAGTTGGCATGAAACCAGGCAGGGACCAGCACAGGGCTTTGGAGAGCAGGGAGGGACCGTCCCAGCATGGGGCTGCTCAGGAGTCCTCTGAGCAGGGAGGACAGGGCTGCTCAGAAAGGCGAGACAAGTACCCAGCACGGGAGGAGCCCTGACTCAGAGCCATCATGCAGGAAGAACAGGAAAAACCAACAGAGCCTGATCCTGGAGATGGGCTGGAAGACAGCTCATTGCAGAGGAGGGCTGGGACAACAACCAGGGCAGGCAGAACAAGGAAAACCTGGGGGAAGGGGCAGGAGCTCAGCCAGCGCTCCCCCAGCAAACTCTCCTGCTCACCTGGCTGACCCCTCGGAAGAAAGCCTCCTCTGCCAGCCGGGCCGGGCCATCCACAGTCTTGCCATCGTCCTCAGGGCCCCAGCTGGCACTGTAGATGTGGATGTGGTTGGGATTGAGGCCCAGGGAATGGGCCTCCACAGCATCAGTCACCTCCCCATCCAGCATGCGCACGCCTAGGGCCAGAGAGCAGACGTCACGGGCGACGGGATGGGGCAGGGCGGCCGCGTGCCGCAGGGCAATGGTGCCACTGGTGAGAGCCCTCCCATCCACTGCTGTTGCCCCATGCCATGGGCCGTCACAGGACTGCCCTGGCCAGCAGTGCCAAGATCCCCAGCACAGCCCACTCCTCCAGCCGCGAGGCACCCACAGAGCCCAGCGCAGGCTTTGCTTTTGGTGCAGGGCAGGGTGGCACCCACCTCCGATCCTGGCGTTGTAAGCCACGCCAACACCACAGATCCCATTGTTTGCCACAGCAGCGACTTCCCCAGCGCAGCGTGTGCCATGTCTGCAGTCAAAACAGGACCAAGCGCGCTCAGATGAGGCACAAGGAGCACAGGGCTGGGCACCAGCCGCAGCTGGAAGGACCAGCACCCAGGCTGCCTCCCGTCCCTCCTGAACCAGGCAGCTGACAAAGGCCCTGCAGGGTTCCTCTGTCTACTCTCCTGCTCCAGAGCAGGGGGACTGAATGGCCTGGACTGGCACTGGGCAGCCCCAAAGGATGCTGGTTGTGTCAGAAAGGGAGGCAGGGGGTTTCTCTGTGGGGCAGAAGCATGCCACCACCGCTGCACCCTCCTGCAGTCCATGAGGGCTGGCACTGCCACTGAGTTCCCGCTGCAGCTGGGCTCTGCCACCCTCGCCTCTGTCTCCTGCCTCACCTGTTGTCATTCATCTGCGTGTAGCGGGGCTGTGGGTCTGGGTCCTGGTCATTGACATCAAAGCTTGCCCCTGGATCCTGGAAGACAGATCTGGCAGTTAGAGACCATCTACCCCGGCCACCAAGCCCCACCACAGGGGCCATGCCTGTGCTCCATGGCCCTGAGGCTGGGCTGAGCAGGGGGCAGGCTCCACTCCCACCTCCATCGCTTCTTTCCATGTCCCTCCATGGCAGGCACGAGCCCTGCAGCTCCAGGGCTGCACTGAGCAAACGCAGCCACCCAGACAGGCTCCCACAGCACACCACCCTGCAGCATCGCCCCACACTTACATAGTTGCCCTCCAGGTCAGGGTGGTTCTTCTCAATGCCATCATCCAGGATGGAAACCACGATGCCCTTGCCCGTGTAGCCCTGCTCCCAGGCCTGACGCACATTCAGGTCCCGCTGGTTTGTGTTGTACTGCCGAGACAAGTGCTGGCAATAGGAACTGCGCCCAGTCACTGGCACTGCAGCTGGGGTGTGCCTGGACCCCTCCAAGGCCCGGCTGTAAGGGCAGGCAAGAGGCAGCCTTCACCCCTCTCTGCTGTGGCGTGGGATGAGGAAACCCCAGAGGACCCAGGCACAGCCGGCTCAGGAGGGCCACTCCAAAAGGAGGCTGAGCCCCAGACTGCGTTTGGGGCCCATAAACATGGCTCCCTTTGCAGAGATCAGGCTTGTGCCAGAGTTCAACGACACAGAGAGGCACAGGCACGGACCCCATTCCTGGGCCAGGCAAAGGGCTGCTCCCCGCTAGTCCAGCCCGAGGCTCTCCCTAGCCCTGCCAGCACCCTGGCAAGGAGCCACAGCTCCACATGCACAGCCTCTTCCCTGGAGTGTTCCTGGACACACAGCACCAAGTGGCTGTCTCAGGCCTTCCTCCTCCTCCTCCTCCCCCCTGCCAGCCTGGCTGGCGGCGGCAGCAGCAGCCACCTGACAGCCATCCCTCTGATAACACAACCGCATACCCAGAATTTGCATTTGCTGTCACAACTGTGTGGCTCCCTTCCTCACTTGGCACTGTGCAGCCCCTGCCCAGCACTCACCAGGTACCACTGCTGCGGGAACTTGGGGTCTGTGGGCTCCATGAAAACGTCTCGCTTGGTCCTGCGCTTTGCCACCTGCTGCTCCAGCCACTGCACCTGGGGGCAGAGAGGGCATGGGACTCCATCACTGCCCCCTTGGCAGCTCTCACCTGTGCCAGCAGCTCCCCAGGCCCCCTGCCCTCCAGCCAGCAACTTGCCCAGAGGGGCTGTCCCTGGGGAGCTCACAGCCAGCTGCCAGCATGCTGGCAGAGCATCCAACCCTGCCAGAGCCACCGCAGCACCCAGACCATCCCTCCTGGCCTCCCCTGTCCAGCCATGCCAGGGCGGCAGTGCCGGGTGTCCCGCAGCAGACTCTGCTCCAGTGGAGCGGGCAGGTCAGAGTGTAGAGCTCTGCAGAGCAGCAGGCTGCCAAGAGCCTGCCAGCTGCCGCGACATGCTGCACGCCCCGCTGCGCTGCCAGCGTGCCAGGCCCCTGGGCTGGAGCCAGGGGCCAGAGGTCACAGCAGCCCTGCCACACCGCCGCGCTGGAATCTGGCACTGCCGGCACTGCCCTGCACACCTTGCCCTGCGTACAAGGACAGAGAGCCCTGCAGGGAGCAGAGGCTGCCCCGTGCCCTGCGATCACAGCAGCCCACAGGGTGGTGATGCCAGTTCTGTCGACCCCCTGCCCTTACCAGCCACGTGCTGGGGTCCCACCTGGCTCTACCATAGGTCTCAGAGCCAGGGGCTGGTTCAAGGCAGCTCAGCCCACTACTGGCTCACATGGCAGCATGAAGTGCCCAGGATCAAAGACAGGCCCCCGCAGATGGCAGGTAGGACCCCCGCGCTGCACATACCTGCGGTTCCCTGGCCAAACGGCTGTGCCAGGGCTGGTGGGGTGAGAGGGAACGCTTCACCACACCACTGTGCCGAAAGTGGTAATAGTCACCAAAGATCTGCAACAGAGAAAGGAGCAGGATGGACAGGAGAGCCCAGTCTCTCTGATTCCCCATCCCCCCACCTGCAAGCCCGAGCCCCGGGGGCTGCCACAGGCAGGCTGGGCCCCCGACTCCAGAGCAGCTGCTGGGGCTCATGTCCAGGTACATGGGGCAGGATCTCCTGCGAGAGGCTGCGGCAGCTGGCAGCTGGTGACAAGGCAGCTGGGGAGACCCTGGGGCCACAGCGACACAGCCTCTGCCCACCTTACCCTCCCACAGACTCCCACATGGCAGTATGTCCCAAATTATCCAACAAAGCTGCTGCCCTGGCAGGGAGACCTAAAGCAAGCAGTGGCAGAGAGGGACAGGCCTTTCAGAGCCAGCCTGGAAGAGGCACCAACCTCAGGAGACAAAACCACCACTCCTCTCCCAGAGCCAACCAGCACCCCCTGCTACTGGTGAGGGGAGACTCTGGGGGGCTTGAGGCCCCACTCCCCAGGTGGCCCCAGGCAGGGCACGGAGACTCTGAGCCAGCCTCTGCTCCTCCAGACAGGCCACTCACAGAGCCCTTCTCCCCGCGCACCCCAGGCCAGCACCCCACCAGAGCACCCACCCAGAGCTGGTCTCAACATCGGGCACAGCCAGCTCCAGCAGAGCAAAGCGAGGGGGCACGCAGGCATCCGACCCCAGGTGGGGCAGCCACCAGCCGAGGAGCCATGCTGTGGTGGCCCCGGCTCAGCTCCCACACACATAGGGATGGCCAGTTGGGGCTGGGGCAGGACAGGACTCCAGCACAGCCCGGCTGGGCCAGAAGGCCATGCAGCCGCCCAGCTGGTTATTTTTAAACCCCAAACCCTCTCCAGTGCTGTCATTTCCTTATCCCCTCCTGCATGTCCTGGAGGCTGGCCTGGCCGCAGCGGCCCCACCCCTGCCGCCCAGGGCCTCCCAGCCCAGCAGCCTGCCTGGTCCGGGGAGAAGGGAGCCGAGTGCCCACCCTGCCCTGCTGGAAGCCACAAAGCCTGGGCAGTGGCCACCGGCAGGATCCGGCTGCCCAGGCTGCGCCATCGCCTGCAGGGCTGGGCTGCAAGGGCTGTGGGAACACGAGGGAGAGGACATCTCGCCCTCCGCTGCCCCAGGTTGCCGCAAAACAGCGTGGTTGCTGCCAACGAACGCCCCCAAGCTTATCAGAGCTCTGCAGATGTGCCACCACCCTGGCCAGCCACGCAGCCAGCTGGAGCCGAGCAGCGGAGGAAAGGTGCAGCCAGCTGACCGGCACCCTCAGCCCTGGGGCAGCAAATCCAGGATGCAGCTCTCCAAGTCATGCGCTTTACCCCAAAGCCCCCACTGTGCTCTGCGGGGCAAGGGAAATGCACCCCGGCATTTGAAGCCAGGCCTCTACCACCCCTGCTCTGGGGGAACTGCCTGCCAGCAGGACAAGCCCCCACCCACCCAAGGGGAATTGTTCCACTCCACAGGGCTCCCCCCACAGCACAAGACCCCCGTGCACCAGCCTCTCTCTGTGGGCAGGAAAGGGAATGGACTCAACTCATGGCAGCCCAGCACTGGCGGCACAGGATGGCAGCAGCCAAACAACGGGGTCAGGACGTGTGCCCACGGCTTCACCACCATGGGAGTCTGGTGCTCGCAGCACACCGGCACACGTCAGTCTGCAGGGAAGGGGCAGACAAAGCCCCCAGCTGCCAGCTCAGGACCCCACTTCTCTCTGCACGTGTTCCCTGGACTTTGGACCATGGTGGGGAGCAAGCTCGTGGTGGGGGACAATGCAGCCTGCCAGTCAACCCCACGCCATGCCAGCTGATGTTATCCAGGGAAGCCGCAGACCATGCTGGCTCCCCAAGATGCAGTGTTCATGACATGGGGCTGCACTCCCTGGTGCCAGTGGCAGCTGGGCGCTGCTCCTGCCCTTGGGCCAGCGGAGGAAAAGCCAGAACTTGGCCTGCAGCTCTGAACTCCTTCCCTGTGGGGCATGGGCAGGTGGCTGGAGCCCTGGCACAGCCGGCTGCAGAGCTGCAGCCCTGCCTGTTAGGGCAGGATAGTGACTCCAGCACTGCCAGAGCCACTGGGGACAGACCTGGGCCTATTCCCTGCAGCACACTGTGTCCCCCCAGTAGAGCCTGGGACACCGAGCAGCTCAGAGCATTTGGGGAGGTGCCGAGGTGAAAAGCCTCTGCGCTGGGCTGGCAGAGGGGAAAGCAAGCTGCAGGCTCACTGCCCTCCCCCAGCACCCCCTCACCCCCTCCAGGGATAAGGACAGAGCCCCGATTGTTCCTGCACACAGATCGTGGTTCTGCCTGGTCATCCGACTGGATTAGGTCTGCACAGACACTGCAGTGGCAGCCAGGAGCCGGCCAGCCCACGCACTTCCACCCTAATCCCTGCAGTCCCTGTCCTCAGCAAGGGCAGAGCTGCCCCCCAGCCCTGTGTCCCCCTGGGCCGGGCAGCACTGATCCCGTGGAAAGTGGTGCCAGCTCGCCGCTCCTGCCCTGACCTCCTGCCACAGCTCGTGGCCACCAGGGCCAGCGGGCTGCCAACGCTCCTGCCCACGTCCCCAGGAGCAGGGCAATGTGCTGGGTGGCAGCAGGGGCTAGCAGGGACCTGCAGCCCAGTGGTACAGGAGGTAAGAGCACTCCTCCCTGGGCTGGTGCTGCTGGGGCCACTAAGCCCCAGTGTCCTGCCACTGCAGCCCAAGGCCAGCATCAGCAGCCAAGCCCTTCCCTGGTGCTCCCCATCCCCAGCTGGGGCAGGCAGCGCCTGCACCCCCCAATCTGCACCAGCCCCAGCAGCATGAACCATCGTGTTCCCGCCTCACTACCGCATCTGTCCCTCTCCTCTGACACTCACCTCCCCCGCACTGTCCTTTGGGTCCCCTTCAAGGCCACTAGCACCACACACCTCTCTGCCAGAGGCACCGCTGACCCAGGGGACTGACTGCCTGCCCTGGCTCCGCAGGCAGCAGCAGAGCAGGGAGTACGCCAGGACAGCACGCCTCTGAGGACAGTGTCCAGACCCCACGCTGAGGCCAGGATCCTCTCAGATAAGGACCCTGGGGGCCTCTCACTGGGGCACTGCCAGAAGCACCCGGTCCCCCCCCTTGCAGCCTGGCTGCTGCATCCTGTCCCAGCAGCACACCCCCCAGGAACAGCAGCCCAGAAACCTCCAGAGGAGGAAAGCCTGGCTCCTTCCAGCCCTGCTCTTCGCACCAGGCCACCACAGCCCCTCTGCAGGAGTGGGCTGCCCAGGCCAGCCAAGCCTCATGCCACAGCACAGACACCGAGACAGGCTCCAGAACAGGAGAAAACATGCCCAGACCAGCAGCTCCTGCCACAGCCCACGGGGCTCTGCCTGCAGGTGCTGCCTCACTGCTGCTCTACCGGCAGCTGAGTGGGCTGGGAGAGCCGGGAGAGAGGTGCCAGCCTCTGGCCACAGAACGAACAGCGCGAGGAGAAGGTGAGCGCTGCTGGGCAGAGCTGGCGCATAGCCTCCATGCCTCACAGGGACGGACCCCAAACAGGCCTGGGCTCCCCACTGAGCCACAGGGTCCTGCACGGCTCTCTGTGCTGCAGCCCAGGGCCTGATGGGCACCCCTGGGCCAGGGGAGACATGGCTGCAGAGTCCAGTGCCCCTCAGTCTTGGCAGCTGGGCCTGGGACACGGCACCACAGCGTGATGGGAAATGCTGCCAGGAGCAGGCTGATGGCACCTCAATCCTGTCCCCGCTCCCAGGGGTCTTGGCAGAGACCTGGCCCAGCAGGACATGTCCTGGGCCGCTCTCCCGGTCCCCTCTGCATGGCAGTGGCCCTGGCCCAACATGTCTTTTGCCCTGACATCGGCCGTAAGACGCTTCCCGCAGACAACACCTGTGTGAGGCCACCCCATTGCTACCCCAGCACAGACACCCTCAGTGGGGCCTGGCCCTGGCCCCCCCAGAGTTCCCTCCTCTAGCACAAATCCCAGAGGACTTGGGGCTCCCTGTCCCCGGAGCCCTGCGTACCCACCACCCCATGCAGGGCTCCTTTCAAGTGGCAGGACAAGGCACCCGCCAGCTTCAGCGGTGGCCACCTTCTCCGCCCACCGCAGCTCGCGGCAGCTGCTCACAGCAAGGTCCTGACACAGCAGCCACAAGTTATGCAATTTCCTTTGGGATTTCGCCCCTCGCTTCCTTCCCGGAGAACCAGCCCAGCCTGGCGGCAGAGCCCCACTCTCCGGGCAACAGACCTCCGGGCACGCAGGCAGCCCAGCAGGGGCTGGCAGAGACACGCAGGCTCTGCTCCGCCAGTGCCAGCCTCATCTCGCCAAAGCAGTGCCTGTCCAGCTCCCCATGCCTGCGCGGGGGCCATCCCTCTGGGCTGGCCCTGCTGCACCCACTCCCATGGGATCCCCTTGGCCCCCGCCTTGGTCATGGCAGCCGTGCTGACACCAGCTCCATCGGCTAAGCCCCCACCTGCCGCCAGCCCAGAGGCTGGTGCCTTGCCTGTGGCACAAGGCAGAGAAAAGCCCCACAGATCAGCACAGGGCATCCGGCATTGTGCTACAACAGCAGCATCAAGAAGCGCTGGCCTGTGAGAAGTGGCCTGCCAACAGAGACATGTCCTGCCTGCAGCACCGCGCTGGCAAGCAGGAGCCTGGCCATTGGCCCACCGGCCCTGCGGTTCTCAGCCAAGGCCTGGCTTTAACGCTGACGTCTCAGGAGCCAAACCTGCGAGCACCCTTGCTACCAATGAGGGCACAGCCCACAGTCGGCCAGGGAAAGCGGAGCCGGCTCCCTGGGCCTGGAGCACAGGGAAGCTGGGTCCTGCCAAGGCTGCCAGGAGGAGAGCACCCTGGAGCTCCTCGCACTGGGGACAAGGCCAGGCACAGCTAGGACTACAGGAAACACAAGGGGCCCCAGTTCCTTCACCATGACCCCGTTCTCCCCACCCTGCTGCCAGGGGGTTGATGGAGGTGCTGGTCCAGCACAGCTGTGCACGCTGCCCTGTCCCTCCACTGGCTGAGGGCAGAGAAAGCCGAGAGTGGTGAGGACCTGCTGACACACCTTCTGTGAAGGGCAGCTTAGGGCCAAGGACACATGGCCACTGTCAGACCACCTGCTCTGGGGACACCCAGTAGGCACTGCTGCTGTTCCAGCTGAGCCAAGGCTGTGCCGCACTGGGGCAGCTCGCTGGGGGGAGCACCATCAGGAACCGGGAGCCCTTCTCTCCTCCACCAATGCACAGCACTCCCAATTTTTTGCACTGGGATGGGCTTTTCCTCCTTCCCCCTCCAGCAGGCAGGGTGTGCTGTGCCATGCCATGCCACCAGACCATCCCACTGGCAGGGGAAGGCCCTGGCTCCATCCAGCTAATTACCACCCTTGAGTCAACACAACGGATGCTGGAAGGCTGCAGCAAACGGGTGCGAACACAGCAGCTCTGCTGCCAGAAAGAGCAGCCCCCAATCCAGCTCCAGGGCCCAGCCCAGTGCCTGCCCAGACCATGGCAGAGATGGCAGAGGACACCACTTCCACAGGGAGAGGGAAGCAGGGGACTTACCGGGCCCAGATTGAGGAATCCATGCTTCCTGGCCAGCCTGTCAGCCTCCTGGGGCCCCGCAGGGACGAGCACAGCCCAGGTGTTGGTGTAAATACGCTGGGCCAGCACCTCCTGGGCCAGGAGAGCGAGGGCAACCACCAGAGTCCAGTGCAGGAGCAGCGAGCAGGGTCTCAGATCCATCAGAGTATCGGAGTTCCTCTAGCTGGGGAGCAGGAGGGTCCCAGGAGCGGTGGGTCCAGTGGCCTCCCTGTGTCAGCACCCTGAGGCGCGCCGGCCTCTCTGCCCTGCTGGCCCCTGCTCAGCCCAAGAGAGCATGGGGACGAGCCCACAACAGCCAGGGCCAGAGAGCAGCAGCAGGAACAGACTGTCTGGGACAGCAGCACAACCTGCAGAGAGATGGAAGAGTGGTCAGGCCCTGGGGCGCCTCTCCTCAAACCCAGGAAGGGCTCTGCTGGACCAAGCCACGGCTCTGGCACCGGGCAAGGGGGCCTTGGCACACTGCACCCACTGTCCACTGTGGTTCACGGAGAGCTGCATGGGACCTGGGGCCCCGAGGAGCCATGGTGGCGGCTGGCTCCGCAGGGCGCCCGCCCCGGCATGCTTGCCCCAGCACGCCACTGCTGTTTACCTTGCCTATTGCCCAATGTGTACTTACGCTCTGTGCTTACAAACACAGGAAACAAACCAGGAGGGGAGAAGGGCACCGAAGGAGGGGAGAGGCAAGGCAAGGGAAGCCATGCCTCCTGCCGCCACGGTCTGCAGCAGGCGGGAGCCCCTTCTCCAACCAGGACGGGCCTATCTGGGCACGGAGCTAGGAGCAACTGGGATGGGAAGCCTGCCTCTCCAGTCCCAAAGGGAGACCAGAGGAGATGCCCACAAATGCTGTGTGAGGAGCCCCAGCTAAATGAGAGACTGGAAGGAGGAAAGCCAGGGAGAGCCCTTGCTCTCTGGGGCTCTCTGGAGCCCCAGGCCCCAGCACTTCCACAGTCAGCGATCGACCAGGCAGTGCCTGGTAGCAGTGCCGAGCGCCGTGCTGCCTGTCACCACCAGCAGCTCAGCTCTGCCCTTCCCCTGGAGCACAACATGGTGACACCGGTGTGACTCATCTTCACAACAGAAAGGAAACCGGCACAGGGACCAGGAAAAGGGGTACACCATCACCTCCAGCACCCACCCAGGGACCTGCACACAGGGATGCCTGGGGACAGCTCGCTCCATGTCGGAGGCCAAACACAAGAAGCTGGGAAGGCAGGTGGGGAGCAGAGCAGGGAGTGACCCACCCAGCGCAAAGGAGCCTGTAACACGACAGCACCGGTGCGAGCTCCACACACGGAGCTCCACAGGCACCCTGAAATACCGGGTCGTGTTTCAGAGACAGTGGGAAAGGTGAGAGCCAGCAGTGCCCAAGGGAGCCCCATCCCCCTCCAGCAAGCAGCGGCCCCAGCGAGCAGGGAGCCTGCGGTGCTGCCAGGGGAGGAGAGCAGCTCCTGGCAGCCACCTGAGACCTCACCGCAAGCTGCAGCGCAGACAGTGCCGCGATTCAGGCACGCTGCGGCTCCCCTTCCATGACCAGACCTCAGCCGGCTGCGGGCCTGGCCACCCTGCCGAGGCACCCAGAGCCGCCTGCACACTGGGAGCAGGAGAAGGAAGGAGGGACAGCCTTGGGCTGCTGCAGGCCAGCCTGCACAGTGGGGTGCGAGCGGGGAAACAAGTCCCCACGAGCTCCCAAAGCCACGCTCTCTGCTCCGCACCCACAGCCCCAGAACCGGCACGCTGCCGATCGCATCTGGCACACGCAGGGCAGCAGCTGGCCGGGATCCTTTCCGGCACCGACGGACACCAGCGCTTCCCCACGAGCCGAGCCCCGCCGCCGCACGGCAGCGACACGGCAGTCCCCAGGCTGTGGCAGCGGCCCCGCGGCACGGCCGGAGCCGCCGGCCGTCCCCGCACCCGCAGGGCGAGTCCGGCGGCAGAGCCGCGGGTGGCTGCGAGGGCGGCC